GTTAAGTGACTTGCTCGAGGCCACATGATAGAAGAGCTGGGATGTGAACATGGATTTGTCTGACTGTGCCATGTTGCCTTTTTTAGAGGACCGCATTGGGTAGCTAGGTGAATCCCCAAATCATTTTTGAATCCCATGATGAGTTAGGAGCAACGTAAAGTACAACGTCTGTTGGAACAGATTCTGTGTCTTTGAGAGCCAGGCTTGAGCAAGAAATGGGGCAGAAAGGGGGTTTTGAGGGTATAGGGAATTAGTTTTGTGTGTGTGCTTGGTTCATTATTTAAATGCTGGCTCAGGGATTCCAGAGAGTATAATGGAGGGTAGGGGTCAGTCAGCGGTGGGAGGAACCAGGAATGAGGATGGATATTGGAATTTAACATGCAGTATGTTCTGCAGTCATGTGGCTAAATAATATGGAATATATAGTCTTAGAATGCAAAATCTTATTGTGCCTAAGTTTTTTTTAAACAGCAGCTAGAAAAACAGGTATTTAACAAATGTTAAACAACACAAATTTTACAGCAAAGTGTGATGTATTTAAGTGAGTTATTTGATTATACTGTCTTTTCTAACCTGATTATTCATTTATATAAAATTTTTGCATATTTTGTCATCTGAAAAAATAATGAATAACATGAATACATATACCGATAGTCTCCTGTTTACTAGGTATATGCATTTTTGGTGGGGGGGAGGATTTCACCTTTTTGTTGATGTTTAATCTTAAATCTGAATGACTTTCTTCAATCTAAATATCTTTTAGAAAATTAACAATGAAGTTATTTAACAGAAGGAGAGATACTGTGTTAAATGTAGCCTCTAGATTTACCATCCCTGAGGTATAGAATGTTGTTTTATTTTATTCCTGTATGTACTCTTGGGGACACAAGTCAAGCTTCAGGAGCTTGCAATCTAACAGATGTATAAGACAGAAAATACCTGAGACAAAGCAGTCTTTGGTAAATCTCTTAATGTTTAGCTTTATCTGAGTGAAACTCTGAGCAACTCAGAGCATTCTGAGTCCTTTTGTTTCTCCTACCAAGTGTAACCGCTTTTACCGTGAGGTGTGATCAGTGGAACTAACCAATCTTTTTTTTTTTTTTGAGATAGGGTCTCTCTCTGTCACCCAGGCTGGAATGCAGTGGTGCGATCACAGCTCACTGCAGCCTCAACCTTTCTAGGCGCAGGTTATCTTCCCACCTCAGCCTCCTTAGTAGCTGGGACTAGAGGCTCACACCACCACACCCGGCTAAATTTTGTATTTTTTATAGAGACAGGATTTTGCCATGTTGCCCAGGCTTTTATTCCAGGGCTCAAGCAATCTGCCTGCCTCGGACTCCCAACGTGCTGAGATTACAGACGTGAGCCACCATGCCAGGACGAAACTAACCAATCCTATGCCCTGTGTACCTGGTTACAATTTCTTTGGAGGACCACATTAGTAACAACAAAAACTATTAAACCAAAAAGTGTATTGTGCATTACTGTGTTAAGCACTATACATACATTATGCTGTTTAATCACGGTACTTCTTTTTTTTTTTTTTTTTTTTTTTTTGAGACAGAGTCTCGCTCTGTCGCCCAGGCTGCAGTGCAGTGACCGGATCGCAGCTCACTGCAAGCTCCGCCTCCCGGGTTTACGCCATTCTCCTGCCTCAGCCTCCCGAGTAGCTGGGACTACAGGCGCCCACTACCTCGCCCGGCTAGTTTTTTGTATTTTTTAGTAGAGACGGGGTTCACCGTGTAGGCCAGGATGGTCTCGATCTCCTGACCTCGTGATCCACCCGTCTCGGCCTCCCAAAGTGCTGGGATTACAGGCTTGAGCCACCGCGCCCGGCCGACCCTATCTTTATTTTAAAAAAAGAAAGAAAGAAAAGTAATCCTGGCCCTCTCCTTAGGATATTGCTTTTCCTGTAGTCTTTGCAGGTGAACACAGCTCATTTTCACACAGTTCATCAACTAGAGGTCCTAAAGATGGTAATCTTCTTTCTTCTAGTTTTCATCTCAACTTGTAAACTATTCCTCCTTGAGGTTTAGGCCAACTAGGTCTTTTACCTATACCTTTCCCTGTTGCTCCTTACTCTTGAAGAGACACAGTCCATGGGTTCATCTAACATCCTAGCTTTGCATTTCTTGACATTTTCAAATTCTGTCGTCTTTGTCTTTAATCAAGCTACTCATACACATTTCTTCTGAATCTTAAACTCCAGAACTTCCAGCCACATGGGTGGTGTGTTAGTCCATTCTTGCACTGCTATAAAGAAATGCCTGAGGCTGGGTAATTTATAAAGAAAAGAGGTTTAATTGGTTCATTGTTCTGCAGGTTGTACAAGGGGCAAAGTGGCTTCTGCTTCTGGGGAGGCCTCAGGGAGCTTTTACTCATGATGGAAGACAAAGTGGGAGTGAGGAGCTTCACATGGCCAGGAGGAAGAAAGAGAAGGGGGGAGGTGCTACACACTTTTAAACAACCAGAGCTCAGGAGAACTAACTCACTATACAGTACCAAGTGGGGGGATAGTGCTAAACCATTAGAAACCACCTTCATGATCCAATCACCTCCCACCAGGTCTCACTTCCAACACTGGGGATTACAACTTGACAAGAGATTTGGGTGGGGACACAGATCCAAACCATGTTAGAAGATATTAATATTTGTTGATTAAATGAATGAATGTCTTAAACTTTTAGTCCTCCCTTTTTCAAATTCTACCAATTCTTCAGTTTCTTCAGTCTTTTAGCCTTTTCATTTTCTCCCTGTTGATCATCTCTGTTTTCATTTCATTCTTTATCTGTGCTAGACTGTGGGCTGTTGCTGTAGCCACTGTCTTGTCAGTACCGTTAGCTGCCTTGCCCATGTTTTTCCACTGTACCTTCTAGAACTGGCAAAAGGATAATACTGACCAGATACACAGTTCATTCCCTTTTAGTATATGCCAGCAAGAAAGCAGTATCCCTGTAGGCACTCCTGTAAGGCTGAACAGGGTGAAAATAGACATGATACTAGGAGGGAAAGAATGATAGGAAGGAGCTTTGAATTGTAACTGAGATGACAGGGTCATCTAGGCTGGCCTCAAACAGTACCTAGAAACAGTACCTGGTTTTGACTAAATATCTGTCAAAATCTAAACTTTAATCTAGAAGTGACTAAACACTTAGAGGCAGCAGGATTAAGTTTTTTTCTGCCAGGTAGTTACAAAGAATCATATACCGTGTGATTAGTTAGTGACCAATTTATACCTATTAAATAGAGTGGCAAGTTATAAGATAACCTGTATTTATAAAAATGCAATGGTTTGAAGTTTATATTAAAATTATACCAAGCAATAGTATTTTTGTTGAAAATATTAAAATGTGCTTTTCTGGCAAAATAATACTTGTGGTGAGTGTATATAAAACTCAATATAGCCATTTTCATTAATAAAGCATGTATAACTATAAACATCTGAAGTACTGGTATAATACTTTGTTTATAGTAAGTGCTGAATAATTGTTATACCTGACAGAATGTTTACTTGTCATGTTTATAGTTGGCTGCACAGCATTTTGCTTCAAGTAATTATGTCTTTAGTCGTGACCTAATTTAGACATAGATTGGAAGAAAGGGTGAAAAACTGAAATAATTCCAGTAAGTGGAGAGGATGTTAAGAAAGAAGCTTTTAAAACAAATTGGAAACCAAGCTCTAGGAAATGGTTTTGTTAGATGTGTAATGGTTTCTAAAGTTGAACTGTCAAAATAAATGGAGAACTTAATAGTGGATGTTTATTATTGGCAAAAAAATTAATTGGAAATAAAATCTCAGTAAAGTAGATTGGAAGAAAAATGTGGAATGTTTATTGAAGTGAAGAGACAGACACGTTATCAACCTTGATTCCAGTTACCTGTCGCTGCTGTGGTTATCTACTGCTATCTTTTACACCACCTGAAATTTGTATAAAACAACTGGGCAGATGGTGGTGTTTCACATCTATAATCCCCGCATTTTGGGAGGCTGAGATGGGAGGATTGCTTGAGTCCAGGAGTTCAAGACCAGCCTGGACAATATAGTGTGAGACCTCATCGCTACAAAAAGTTAAAAAATTATCTGAGTGTGGTGGCTTATGCCTGTAGTCCCAGCTACTTGGGAGGCCAAGGTGGGAGGATTGCTTGAACCTAGGAGGTGGAGGTTGCAGTGAGCTGAGATCGTGCCACTGCACTCCAGCCTGGACAACAGAGCAAGACCCTGTTAGCAGAACAAGACCGTGTCTCAAAATAAAATAAGATAAAATATAAAATAAAATAATAAATAATAAATATAAAAGAAGATACAAATAAAATAACCATTATATTATGGTTACAAATTCTTCAGGTAGGAATTCAAAGAAGAGACAGCTGTGTGCTTTATGTGGGACCTCAGAATGGAAGACTCAAATGGCTGGGTGTGACTGGACCTGCTGGGAATGGAAACCGCTGGAAATTGGAGAATCCTCTTCCATTTTGACTTTTTTACTCATCTGGTACCTAGACCAGGATGACTCGAAAGCTGGGCTCAGCTTTTATGCTAGACCAGAGGACCCGCAGGACAGTGAAGGTCTCTCCTTGTAGCTGAGGCTTTTCATAGCATGGCAGCACCTGGAGACTTAAGTGTTCCAGAAACTGAGAAAGAAGCTTCCAGGCTCCTGCTGAACTAGACTCAGAAGTCATTCACTATCATTTTTGCCACATTTTATTGGTTGCAAGTGAATCATCGAGGCCAGCCTAGATTTAAGAGAAGGAGAATTGGCTGGGCATGGTGGCTTACGCCTGTAATCCCATCATTTTGGGAGACTGAGGTGGGCAGATCGCCTGAGGTTGGAGTTTGAGACCAGCCTGGCCTACGTGGCGAAACCCGATCTCTACTAAAACACAAAAAAATTAGCTGGGTGTGGAGGCACGCACCTGTAATCCCAGCTACTAGGGAGGCTGAGGCAGGAGAATTGCTTGAACCCTGGAGGTAGAGGTTGCAGTGAGCCAAGATCATGGCACTGCGCTCCAGCCTCGTTGACAAAGCAAGACTCTATTTCGAAAAAAAAAAAAAAGAGAGAGAAGGAGAATTGGACTCTACTTACTGATGAGAGAGTGGCAAGGTCACTTTGTAGAAGAGCATGTGGGATGGGAATTGTGGCCACCTTTGGGAAATAAAGTACACTTTCAGGGAAGAGGGAAAAACATTAACCCATACTTAACAGTTCTTTCAGTGATTAGCCACAGAGTCTCGTTTTTTGTGTGTGTGTGTTTTTTTTTTTTAAAGCCAGTCATTTAGGATTGGGGGAGTTTTATACTAACTTCAGGAACACTAATGTTAATGTGTTCTGATAACCCACTACTATCAGACCAGCCACTACAAACTTTTAAGAGAGTAAAAACACACACACACACAGAGAAGAGAGTTGGTAATGTAACCTGATATGCGTCATTAAGAAAGACCTCTCCTTTGCCATTTTCTCTTATTTTAAATTTATTTATTTATTTATATTTAGAGACAAGGTTGCCCTCTGTCACCTGAAGTGGAGTGCATAGGCTCGATCACGGCTTACTGCAGTCTCCACCTCCTGGGTTCAAGCGATCCTCCTGCTTCAGCCCCCCTGAGTAGCTGGAATTACAAGTGTGCACCACCACACCTGAATAATTACAAAAAATTTTTTTGTACAGTTGGGGGTCTCACTATCCTGAGCATTCTGGTCTTGAACTCCTGGGCTCAAGCAATCCTCTTGTCTTGGCCTCCCAAAGTGTTGGGATTACAAGCATAAGCCACGGTGCCCAGCCTTCTTTGCCATTTTAAACAGAAATTTAGAATCTCTAAATTAACAGTAACGCTTTTCCTCAGTCCTATACTCAAACAAAAGAATTCTTAGCTATATGGTAATAAGAAAGACTTTTATATTATAAGCATGGGAGAAATTTAGAATTTACACTATATAATCATGTGCACTTTGGATGTTGTCACTGCTCAGACAGTTCCCAGTTTTTTAGCTCTTGGAACAGTAGGAAAGAGAACCATAATTTCAAGGCCATCGGATTATCACTTCCAAGATTTGGATCTTTACTTCATTAGTAATAGTGTATATATATATATGTGTATTTGGGCAGCAGCAGCTTTTATTGGTTTCAAAATAGACTGCATTAATTAACTGATTTATGCCTTGTGTTCCATTATTGGAACGCTAGGCATGTGAATTATTTATATCCTACTGCTCAAGGTCTGATTCCAAAAATTCAAAAAATTGCAACCTCCGGCATAAATGGGTTAATTCTTAAACATACTGTGGGATAAATTTTTCAATATGATTAAGTTCTTATTTCTATCCTCTTAGCCCGTTTAAGAAAGGGGCAGGTGGTGACATGAGTAGTAGTTGTGTCAGAAAGGAAGAAAGTCACATCTTTAGTACACAGTGGTGAGTGCCCACCAGGCCAGGCTTATATGGGATGTAGTTCCTTGGCAGGGGAGGTTCTAAGGAGGTTAGTGATCTAGTGGTTCCATTATAGAATGTTTGTGATAGTTGGGCTTTTCTTCTCTTGTCTCTTGGCTTCATTCTATCATGTATAAATGCTTGACATGTTGTGAACATCCCAACTTACATCGCTTTGGAAAGGAAGTTCCTAGTAGGCTACATGAATAGCATTAGTCTTTGGAGATACTTGAGGATTTCAGTGATAGAGTTGATTAACTGTGTTAGAACCATGGTTTAGTAGGCAGTAAATTTGATGTCCAATGCCAGGTAATGTCCATGGATAAGACAAGAAATGTATTCTAGTGAGCATAAAGTGTTACTTTGGGATGGTAGAATCCTAGGTTTGTTTTGGAAAGTTTCTGTCCATTTCATCTTTTACGACTCATCTGTACCTGGATGTCTGCTATGACCTCAATACTGCATGTCCAAAATCTAATTAATCTTCTTCCTCATCAGACATCCCCCATATCCCAAATAACAAATAAACCAAAAACCTAGTTTCTTGTCTCAATCTGGCATTTCTGTCTGACTCTACCTTAAATGCAATCTTTTAGAATGGAACATTTGAATTAAAATGTCCTCTTTTTTCTCTTTTTTCTTTTAAGTATTTACACTCCTTTCTTTGAAATATCTTTTAGATTTTCCTTTTCATTTGCATTTCCCCAAGTAGGAATCAGTGTAGCCCTTATTTTTGCAAAGTTTCCTTTCATACTCTTCTATTTCAGTTTATCCTGCTTAGTGATATGGTAGTACTAATAAATGTACCCTGTATAAATACTCACTTTCTCTTTGTCATTTACCACATCAAGTCTAAACTCTTCTGCATGTGTTTATCATATCTCTTATCAGGATGGGGAGCAGAGATACTATAAAGACCAGGCCCCAGAAAAGTGGAGATTGTGGATTTTGTAGGAGGAGGAAGAAGAGAGTAGATGTATTAGGCAAGGGGCATGCCTTTGGTAAGGTAGCCAAGACAGGAGCTGAAAAGGGTGGATGAAGCCCATAACAAGTCATGCCCATTGCAGACAGTATCAGGGGCTAAAAAAGTATGTTGTAATACCCAAAGAAATGCAATATATGAGATTTTACACCAGAGATATATAGCACGTTTACTGTGCATACTTTCAAAGAATTAGGTCACCATCAGTAGTCATTAGGGATATGCAAATAAAAAACACAGTGAGATACCACTTCACACACACTAGGATGGCTGTAATTAAAAAGAATGACAATAAATTGTTGCCAAGGATGTGGAGAAATTAAAACCCCTATACGTTGGTGGGTTTATAAAATGGTGCAGTCACTTACTTTGGTAAACAGTTTGGCAATTTCTCAAAAGGTTAAATGGTTACCACGTGACCCAGCAATTCTAGGTATAGATCCAAGAAAATTAAAAACATATGTCCACACAAAAACTTACATACAAACAATCACAGCAGCATTACATATTTGTAATAGCTAAGAATGGAAACAACCCAAATGTTACATCAACTGATGAATGAATAAAATATGGTATATCCATTCAAGAGAATATTATTTGCCCATAAAAAGGGATGAAATACTGATATGTGCTATAATATGGATTAATCTTAAACATTATGCTAAGTGAAAGAGGCCAGACACAAAAGGCTAAATATTGTATGATTTCATTTCTCTGAAGTGTCCAGAATAGGCAAATCCATAGAGACAGAAAGTAGAGTAATAGTTGAGAGGGGCTGTGAGGGGAAGGGGGAGTGGGAAGAAATGCTAATGGCTGTAGTGTTTCCTTTTAGGGGGATGAAAATATTCTGGAATTTGGTAGTGGTGGTGGTTGTATAACTTTGTCAATATGCTCAGAACCCACTGAATTGTACACTTTAAAGGGGGTGAATTTTATGTTACATAAATTATATCTCAAAGCTGTTATTAAAAAAAAAAAATTGTCACAAGGCTCAGTTACTCAAGACTCAAAATGTGAATGTTCCTGAGTATAGGACCTATAAGGCAAGAAGTCTATGTGAATTTCTCTGCTTACTTTAATCTTATCCTCAGCAGTAACACATAACTTCACAGATTTGGTGGGCCACTTAGGTTTAATGATGGTTAATATAAATGCATACATATCAAATAAAAACATTGATTACCTAAAGTCCCCTCTTATTTCACACTTTAGGAAATTCTTGCTCTTGTATAAATGTTTGCGTCCCCCAAACTTCATATGTTGAAATCTCATCCCCAGTGCAATAGAATTAAGAGGTGAGGCCTTTAGAAGGTGCTAAGGTCATGAGGAAAGAGCCCTCGTTAATGGATTACTTCCCTTATAAAAGAGGTCCAAGGGAGCTTATTTGCCACTTCTGCCATGTGAGCACACATGGAAGGCACTGTCACTGAGGAACAGGCCCTTACCACCCAGTCTGCTGATGATCTTGGACTTTCCAGCCTCTAGAACTGTAAGAAATAAATTTCTGTTGTTTATAAGCTACCTAGTTTATGGTATTTTTGTTATAGCAGCCCAAACAGACTAAAACAATTCTGAATTATTGTATGTAATTGCTAAGCCAGGATGATTCATTTTGATTGTAATTCAGTCATTTATTTCAGCTTCGCTTTTAGGGTTACATACAGTGTTTTCATTTTCTGTAAAAAATAGTGGAGATGGGATAGTAGAAAGAGGAATGGGAAGGTTGTCATTAAATTATATACGATTTTTTTTTCTCTAAAGGATTTGAATGCTGAGAATTTTAAGGTTTTTTCCTGGAACTTCATTACATTAACTTTAAATCCTTTTACTATGGCACTGAAATTTTCTCAGTAGGGAGCGCATCATCATATTCGTCTCATTAAACTATGTGTAGTGCCTGCTGAGAAGTAGATTGGGACTTGAAAATGTTTATCACCATAGGAAACAACAGAAAAGTATTTTAAAACACAGCTACTTCTCTAAGAATTCTGTTTGGGATACTACTATTATGTTTCAGAATTCTTAAAAACAGTTTGGCATAGTATTCTAATAACTGAATTAATTTTATTGACCCTTATCTTTGTATTTAGTAAAGCAGGTGGTTGTCAATCATTTTTCCACTCAGTTGCCTCCCTTGGTGGGTGTGTGGGTGGCCATAAGATGGAGAATGGGAATGAATGTGTAGTCTTTTTAAAGGGCCAGTTAGTGATTCTTGTATATACTACATCCTACCCCTACCCCAAATTGAAAATATTGCCACAGTGATCAAAAGGTATTAATGGAAGTATAATATCCCCTTGGTCATTGGGCAGAAAAGTGGTTAAGCACATTTGGTGTTAGGCTGTTACATAGAGAAATTTAGGGTGATGTGTTTTTAGATGTGCCTGCTTTGCTGGGAAGATAGGAGCTAAGAACAGAGCTTTAGACGCAGGAGTCAGAAGTGCCTGAGTTATAATAGCCCATTCCAGCTCACGTTTATCTGAAATAGGTCACTGTCTGGGAGTTATGTGAGTAATTTCACTTAGCAGGTGCTGTACAAGTCCTCTATGACTTGTAAAGTATAAACCTTGATTGAAAATAGAATGAAGTTTGTAGAGGTGCATGACCTCATAGCAGACTCAACAACTGAGAGAGAGCACCTCTCCCCTGACTTTCAAGCAACCACCAGCTTCCTTTGCTGTGTGTATGTATGACCTAAATAGCTCTTCCATCAGGTCTCAGGTCTCCAGCCCAAGGTTTGTGTTAGGAACCACAGGGCTCTTTTCCTGGGGTATTTTGATGCCTTTGGCTGTTCTTTAATCAAATCTTATCTAATACATCCTCCACAGTGCAACCAGAATTTTAATTTCTAACATACAAGTCAGATCGAATTATTCCTGTACTTAAATCCCTTCACTGGTTCTGCATTACCTAGAAAGAAAGGAGTGTTTACTGAATTTGGCACAATGTTATAACTTGACTGTTAGATGATTCATTCTATTGGGGTACCTTCCTTTAAGACAACTCAGTGTATTTAGAAATTCAAATTCCTTGTGTGTTTTGCACAAAGCCTCTACCTATACAGCTTGTGTGATACTGGCCTCGTTCGGCTAGTGCTGCTTCCTGTCCTGCCTCTGGTGGTTGGTTGTTGATTCGTTTGGTCTAAGTGGCTGCCAGCTTAAATCAGGAGTGCGAACCAGATCAGATACAACTCTGAAGGCCACAGAGAGGAGTTTGACTTTTTTCCTCCTGTATATGTATGGTGGGAAACGATCGGCAGGCTGCAAGCAAGGGTTATGTTATGATTTATGTTTTGAGATGACCACTTTGGCTACTGATTGAGGAATGAATTGTGGCACAGCATGAGCGGAAGCTGGAAGATCAGTTAGGAGACCACTGCAGTGGTCCTAGGCCTAATGCCAGACGGTGGTGGCTTGCATAAGGGTGGTTGTGATGGAAACAGAGGTAAGTGCAGACATCATGATGTATTTTGGAAGTAGAACTAATGGGACCTAATAATGGCTTCATGGTAGGAGGAGGAGAAGAGTACATAATGGAGGAACTCTTAGGTAATATATTTGTGTATTTTCATTCTTTCACAGTACATTTAGGTGTGAAAGGAAGAAATGAAGAAACAAATAGAATATAGGTGTCTATATCCAAAATAGGTAATTGAAATTATTTTCAGTCCTTGAATTATGCTTGAGTTAGGTAGCTAATGTTAGGAATTACAGGAGAATGTGTGATTGGCAGAATATTAGGTCTATTCAAGGACTGACATAATAGAGATCACTATATGAGAGACTACAGTCATACCTCAGGAGATGCTCAGGGAATCTGCACCCCAGCTGAGGACCTGAGTCTCATACATAGGTACTACTGTCTGGGAACCTGGGCCTCCAATGGCTGCTGGCTTTGAAGGCTCTGGCTTTTCAAAGAGGATTTCTCACCAAATACAACCAGATTCTACAGTGCTTATTTTCTGTTGCATAAAATAATCTTCCAGTCTTACCTGACTCACCTCATTAACTTGTATTAATTTCCAAGTTCTTATTCAAAAGCCTATATTTGAGTCCTGTGATCAGACAAGATAACACATTATAGCCCTCTTATTCTTACTTTACCTCTCAAATCAATAGCAGGATATTCTTTTTCTTTTTCTTTTTTTTTGGCAAGATACTCCCTTTTTAAAAAAATTTTGTGGGTACATAGTAGTAGTATATATTTATGGGGTATATGAGATGTTTTGACGGAATATGAAATAAGCATGTCAATGAAAATGGAGTATCTATTCCCTCAAGCATTTATCCTTTGAGTTGCAAACAATCCAATTACAGTCTTTATTTTAAAATGTACAATTAAATGATTATTGACTATAGTCACCCTATTGTGCTATCAAATAGTAGGTCTTACTCTGTTTTTTTTTCTTTTGGTACCCATTAACCATCCCTGCTTCTTCCCTAACACCCCACTACCCTCCCCAGCCTCTGGTAACCATCATTCTACCCTCTATGTCCATGAGTTCAATTGTTTTGATGTTTAGATCCCACAGTAAGTGAGAACATGTAGTGTTTTGTCTTTCTGTGCCTGGTTCATTTCACTTAACCTAATGATCTTCAGTTCCATCCATGTTGTTGTAGATGACTGAATCTCATTCTTTTTTATGGCTGAATTGTACTCCATTGTGTATATGTACCACATTTTCTTTCTTTTTTTAAACTTTTATTTTAGGTTTGGGGGTACATGTGTGAGTTTGTTATATAGGTAATCTTATGTCACAGGGGTTTGTTGTACAACTTACTTCATCACCAGGGTGTTAAGCCTAGTACCCAACAGTTACTTTTTCTGCTCCTTTCCCTCCTCCCACCCTCCACTCTCAAGTAGGCCCCAGTGTTCCCTTCTTTGTGTTCATGAGTTCTCATCATTTAGCTCCCACTTATAAGTGAAAACCTGCGATATTTGGTTTTCTGTTCCTGAGTTAGTTTGCAAGGATAGTAATAGCCTCCAGCTGTATCCATATTCTTGCAAAAGACTTGATCTCATTTTTTTATGGCTGCATAGTGTTCCATGGTGTATATGTACCATTTTTTAAAAATCCAATCTGTCATTGATGGGCACTTAAGCTGATTCCATGTCTTTGCTAATGTGAATAGTGTTGCAATGGACATTCATCTGCATGTGTCTTTATGGTGGAATGATTTATATTCCTCTGGGTATATACCCAGTAATGGGATTGCTGGGTCAAATGGTAGTTCTGTTTTCAGTTCTTTGAGGAATTGCTACACTGCTTTCCACAATGGTTGAACTAATTGACACTCCCACCAGCAATGTATAAGTGTTCCCTTTTCTCACTAGCATTTGTTGTTTTTTGACTTTTTAATAATTGCCATTCTGACTGGTGTGAGATGGTATCTCATTGTGGTTTTGACTTGCATTTCTCTCATGATCAGTGATATTGACCTTTCTTTCATATGCAGGTTCGCTGCATGTATGTCTTCTTTTGAAAAGTGTCTGTTCATATCCTTTGTCCACTTTTTAAATGGGGTTGTTTTTCTCTTGTACATTTAAGTTCCTTATAGGTGCTGGATATTAGACCTTTGTCAGATGCATAGTTTGCAAAAATTTTCTCCTATTCTGTAGGTTGCCTTCACTCTGATGATAGTTTCTTTTGCTGTGCAGAAGCTCTTTAGTTTAATTAGATCCCGTTTGTCAATTTTGGCTTTTGTCGTGATTGTTTTCGGTGTCCTTGTCATGAAACCTTTGCCCATTCCTGTGTCCTGAATGATATTGCCTAGGCTATCTTCCAGAGTTCTTATAGTTTTAGGTTTTACATTTAAGACTTTAATCCATCTTGAGTTGATTTTTGTATATGGTGTAAGGAAGGGGTCCAATTCCAATCTTCTGCATATGGCTAGCCAGTTATCCCAGCACCATTTATTGAGTAGGGTATGTTTTCCCCATTGCCGTTTTTGTCAGATTTGTCAAAGATTAGATGGTCATAGGTGTGTGGTCTTGTTTCTGGACTCTCTCCTCTGTTCCATTGGTCTTTGTTTGTTTTGTTTTATTTTGTTTTTGTTTTTGTTTTTTTTGAGATGAAGTCTCGCTCTTGTCCCCCAGGCTGGGGTACAGTGGCACAATCTCGGCTCACTGCAACCTCCGCCTCCCGGGTTCAAGCGATTCTCCTGCCTCAGCCTCCCAAGTAGCTGGGACTACAGGCGCCCGCAACTGCGCCCAGCTAATTTTTTGTATTTTTAGTAGAGACGGGGTTTCACCGTGGTCTCGATCTCCTGACCAGGTGATCCGCCTGCCTTGGCCTCTCAAAGTGCAGGGATTACAGGCGTGAGCCACTGCACCCGGCCTATATGCCTGTTTTTGTACCAGTATCATGCTGTTTTGGTTACTGTAGCCCTGTAGTATAGTTTGAAGTCAAGTAATGTGATGGATCCAGCTTTGTTCTTTTTGCTTAGGATTGCCTTGGCTATATGGGCTCTTCTTTGGTTCCATATGAATTTTAAAATAGTTTTTTCTAGTTCTGCAAAGAATATCATTGGTAGTTGGATAGGAATAGCATTGAATCTGTATATTGCTTTGGTCAGTATGGCCATTTTAATGATATTGATTATTTGTATCCATGAGCATGGGATGTGTTCTCATTTGTTTGTGTCGTCTCTGATTTCTTTGAGCAGTGTTTTGTAATTCTCGTTATGGAGATCTTTCAGCCGATCCCCCACTACCCTCGCCCATCACCTCGTTACCCTCCCCAGCCTCTGGTAACCATCATTCTACTCTCTGTGTCCATGAGTTCAATTGTTTTGATTTTTAGATCTACAAATAAGTGAGAACATGTGATGTTTTGTGTACAGGTATTCCTAAGTATTTTATTATTTTTATGGCAATTGTGAATGGAATTGCCTTCCTGATTTGTCTCTCAGCTTGGCTGTTGTTGTATAGGAATGCCAGTGATTTTTGTACATCGATTTTGTATCCTGAAACTTTGCTGAAGTTGTTTATCAGCTGAAGGAGCTTTTGGCTTGAGACTATGGGATTTTCTATATATAGAATCATGCCATCTGCAAACAGACTTCTCTCTTTCTATTTGGATGCCCTTTATTTCTTTCTCTTGTGTGACTGCTCTGGCTAGGACTTCCAATACTGTGTTGAGTAAGAGTGATGAGAGAGGGCATCCTTGTCTTTTGCTGGTTTTTAAGGGGAATGCTTCCAGCTTTTGCCCATTCAGTATGATGCTGGCTGTGGGTTTGTCATAGATGGTTATTATTTTGAGGTATGTTCCTTCAATACCTAGTTTATTGAGTTTTTTTCACATGAAGGGATGTTGAATTTTATCAAAAGCCTTTCTGCATCTATTGAGATAATCATGTGACTTTTGTCTTTAGTTCTGTTTATGTGATGAATCACATTTGTTGATTTGGGTATGTTGAACTAACCTTGCATCCCGGAGATGAAGACTACTTGATCATGATGCATTAGCTTTTTGATGTGCTGGTAACCATCATTCTACTCTCTGTGGATTTGGTTTGCAAGTATTTTGTTAAGGATTTTTGCATGGGTGTTCATCAGGGGTATTGGCCTGAAGTTTCCTTTTTTTCTATGTGTGTCTCTGCTAGGTGTTGGTATCAGACTAATGCTGGCCTCATAGAATGAGTTGGGGAGGAGTCCTTCCTCCTTAATTTTATGGAATAGTTTCAGTAGGAATGGTACCAGCTCTTCCTTTTATATCTGGTAGAATTCAGCCGTGAATCCATCTGATCCTGGGCTTTTTTTTTTTGGTTGGTAGGCTATTTATTACTGATTTAATTTTGGAGCTCATTATTGATCTGTTCAGGGAATCAGTTTCTTCCTGGTTCAGTCTTGGGAGGGTGTATGTGTCGCGTCTCTTCTAGGTTTTCTAGTTTGTGTGCATAGAGGTGTCCGTAGTAGTTTCTGATGGCTGTTTTTATTTCTGTGGGATCAGTGGTAACATCCCCTTCATCTTTGTAATTGTGTACCACATTTTCTTTATCCATTCATCTGTTGATGGACACGTAGGTTGCTTCCAAATCTTAACTATTAAAAACGGTGCTGCAACAAACATAAGGGTGTAGGTATCTTTTTGATATACTGATTTCCTCTCTTTTGGATACTTACCCAGCAGTGGGATTGCTAGATCATATGGTAGTTTAATTTCTAGTTTTTTGAGGAACCTCCGAACTGCCCTTCATAGTAGTTGTATTCATTTACATTCCCACCCATAGGGTGCAAGGGTTCCCTTTCCTCCATATCCTTGCCAGCATTTCTTATTGCCTGTGGTTTAGACATAAGCCATTTTAACTGGAATGAGATGATATCTCGTTGTAGTTTTGATTTGCATTTCTCTGATAATAATGTTGAGCACTTTTTTATATGCCTGTTTGCCATTTGTATGTCTTCTTTTGAGAAATGTCTATTTAAATCTTTTGCCCATTTTT